TCACTTCCTTAGGTGCAAACTTTTTTATGGATGGGGCTTTCCTTTGCCCCCCAGAGCACCTAAATGCGAATCTCCTGTTCCACCACATCCCAATCAGCAAATTGCAGCATAAATCTCTTCGTCAGACCAGGCGCCGTTGTTACAATGTTTAGCTGTCCAGTTTTGGTGACCCTGTAGTCACTGCTCTTTGTTGACAGGAGTGTCACCTGGTGTGGTCTTCAGCTGCTGTAGCTCATCCACATCATGGTTCGAAATTTTATGCGTTCAGCAATACTCTGTTGTGCGTGGAACTCACTAACATTATAGCATGTTCCTCTCTTAGCGACGAATTCGTTTAACGACGTGGGCTAAGGAACGGAACTGCGTTGTTAAGTGAGGAGAGTGCTACTATTCACTCTGCTAAACTTAACATTTGTATTTTCCTATTGTTATTTTTATTATGAATGATCTGAATTAATTTTAAGTATATCATTGGTCGAGCTTCGCCAGACATTAAGTGCATTTTTTTGTCAGTTTATTGTACATCCTGCGCAGTATTACTGAAATTTAGATTAATATTTTTATCTGTATTTGACCAACATTAATACCTCCAGAAATGTTAATATTCAAAAGACTTAATAAGAAGTTCCATAAACTGTTCTTGCAAAAATTTAATTCGTAATTTACTATTATTAGAGATTATAAGATATTTTAAGAGTGCTTGAAATGCTCTGCATATTCAAAGTTTTTCTTTATATGCCAATAATATTACCTTTTTTGTACCAACAGTAAACACTTCATTATAGAAATAAAGTTTACTTTTCGAGCTAATCTTTTGTGGATTCCCTCTCACTTATGCCAGCAGCAGCATTGTAAAAGCGAAGATCTTGGCTAAACTGACAATAAATGTAGAGAAAATCAAATATAATTTTGGTTCTCAAACAAAAGTTGAAAATATTGTTAGGAAACTGGTAGTGACGTCCCAGCACCGCCGAAATTAAAGTACCATCACTTTTTCCAATTTATTATACAAAATATAATATAAACATGATGTGGTTTTAAGCGACTAGGAGCTCTGACCCAGAGCACGCATACGCACACTCACACACACACACACACACACACACACACACACACACACACACACACACACAACACACACACACACACACCACATACACACACACACACACACACACACACACACACACAACACCAACACACCCACAACACACAAGTGAGAGGTGGGGCCAGGAATCTCGACCCCTACAACCACAAATAGGTGACTACACACACACACACCACACACACAAACGTGCGGGCGCACATGCACACATACACACACACGTAACACAAACAACAACACATTTCACAGTACAGTTTTTACAGTCTTTGTATAATCATGGTAACTATGTAATGTACAGAAGTATAAATTCAATTACATGAAAGTCTAAGTTTCCGCTTGTTTGTCACTTTCTACACATCTGACACCTTCTTACATCTGTCACCTTCCTCACATCTGCCATCTTCTTCACATCTGTCACTTTCTTCTTATGTTGTCATGTACTTTTCCAAACCATTAAGTGTGTTTATCTTAATGGATGTCTTCCTCTGATATGTTCAATTACGAACGTTGATAAAATCTGTGTCATGACAACCAATGTCGAATCCTCGGCACAGCGCTGGCACGTCCTGGTGAGGACACCTGTGGGAAATAATGGGTAATGTTAGTTAATAATAGGTAATGGGTGAGTGAGCAGGAAAAGAATTTAAGTATAATGAATGTGTAACAAATGAAATAGTAGACCTGAGTGAGCAGGGAACTTTAGCATTAGATAAAAGTATCTGCATTCAATGGGTGGTGATTTCATAGTAAAGAATATAAATACTGAGAATTGTTTAAAATGAATGATCGATAAGCTAATTGGTTATGCCTAAATATACAGGTAATAATAATAAAAAGAATAATAATTATATAGTAATCATAATAATAATTGAGTAATATTTTAAAGACAATTCTCCGAGTTTTTGTGTTTCCGCGAGTGTTACAACTTAATTACTGACTAGTTCTTAGTTATTTTTTTATGAATTTATTGTAATAAAGTAATAGTTTCAACTCCATCGGTTTTACGAGAGTCATTAATGCATTTCACATGCACACCACTACTCGATTACTGAAGATATTTAAAAGCCCCTAATGAGGGAATAAAGGAAACTGTGTACAGTATTCTGAGAGAAAAAATCTCAGTGTATACGCGAAGATTTAAATCTTTGTTTGTAGTCGCTGAGATACATAGTTTTCAGTATATATAACCTGAAAGATATACGTCAATTTGTATATGCAGTAGATATTTGGTACTAAGAGACTCAGACTGAACTAGTTGTAGTAAGTTGCAATGAATACATGATGCCAAGGATATATAATAGATAAATGGTGCTATGGGATAAACGGAAGATGAATTGATGTACTGAACGAACAGTGAATGAATGGTGCTAGGAGACAAACATAAGATGAATGGTGCTAGAGAACAAACAGTAGATGAATGGTGCTAGAGGGCAAACGTAAGATGATTGGTGCTAGAATACAAACAGTTGATGAATGGTGCTGGGGAACAAACAATTGATGGATGTTGCTAGTGGATAAATAGAAGATGAATGGAGCTGCTGGAAAAGCAGTTAATGAATAGTGGTAAGAGACAAACAGTTGATGAATGGTGCTAGGGGACAAACAGTAGATAGATGGTACTAGTATAAAACGATAAATGAATGGTGCTAGAGGAGAAACAGCTGATGAATATGTGCTAGGTGACAAACAGTGGATGAATTGTGCTAGGTGACAAACAGTGGATGAATTGTGCTAGGGGACAAACAGTATTATTATTATTATAATAAAAAAAGAAGCGCTAAGCCACAAGGACTATACAGCGCTGCAGGGCAGGAAGGAAGCGAGGGCATCAGGTGGCAAAAGGGAGATGGATGAGTAATAGGTTACGGATAACAGCGGGGTAGTGGATGGTGAAAGGGTAAAGGGCTGCAAGAGACTGAACTAGAAAGGGCTGAGGGGAGTGCGAAAAGTATCATCAGAGTTTGTGGAGTAAATCAGTCGTTGTCAAGAAGTCAATGAGAGAGTCAGGATTAAAGGAGGGTCCCTCAGCAAGAAGGGAAGGTAAAGAGAGAGTAGTAGAACGAAGACGACGTTGGAGGTAAATTCTGCGTGCTCGTTGATAGAGAGGGCAGTCTAACAGAATGTGGCTAATCGATACTGGAACTTGACACTGCTCACAGAGAGGAACAGGGTGCCTCTCCATGAGATACCCATGAGTAAGACGAGTGTGGCCAATGCGAAGGCGGGAGAGAGTGGTCTCCCAACCTCGGCACTGATGACAAGACGGCCAGTAACCTATGCTCGGTTTAATAGAATGAAGTTTGTTACCGAGCAGAGTTGACCAACGTTGTTGCCAACGGGTGCGAAGGTGGGTAGCTATTGCAACAAAATAGTCCAGAAATGGAACACCTCGATAGGAAATTGGTAGGTCATGCACTGCTGACCGCGCAGCAGTGTCTGCCTGTTCATTGCCCTGTACGTCGACATGACCAGGGACCCAACAAAAAACAATATCTTTATGTTTGGTAGAGATACGGCGTAGCCAAAGTTGGATACGGAGAACTAGGGGATGAGATGTATCAAATTTTCGTATAGCCTGTAGAGCACTAAGGGAGTCTGAGACTACTACAAATGACACAGGCATAGATGCGATACGAATAAGTGCTGCAAGAATGGCATACAGTTCAGCAGTAAAAATGCTAGCTGAAGATAGTAAATGCCCCCGCACGACGCTGTCCGGAAACACTGCTGCGAATCCGACGCCGTCTGAAGACTTAGAGCCATCTGTGTACACAGCGATGGCATGAGAATGGGAGTGGAAGTGATCAAGAAAAAGAGAGCGGGAAGCCACCGTAGGCAGTTGAGCTTTCGAGGAAGGGAGTGAGAAAGAACAGACCCGAACAGCTGGAACTTCCCAGGGGGGTAGGGAAAAGTGAGATGCTACATGAACATATAAAGGTGGTAACTGAAGGGAAGACAAGAGTGAATGTAGGCGAAGAGAAAAGGGACGGAGCAAACAGGGGCGGCGAACGAATAAAGAATGTCTACTAATATCGGTGACCATTCTATAAATATATATAAATAGTGTATATAAATAGTGTATATAAATAGTGTTAAGGGGCATTACTGGGGTAACTATATAAAAGACACCAAAAATAAGAGTGTTCTCATAACAATATAGTACATATTACTGTTTATATCTTTAATTCTTGGATGAAAAATAACAAGGTTGAGTAGTAAGAAAGTTAAGTAGTAGATCAAAATGTATACTAATGTCTTCACTTAACATCCCTGAACTGAAGACGTTTCGTTCGTAGGGTCTCAGTCACTCAAGGTCTCACGACTGAAACATCTCGATAAAAGTGTCCTTAGTAAGGACTGACTCAAGCCATTGAATATTATTGTATTGACGGGGAAGCACTAAACCCACAGGAATCATATAGATCCTGGGTACAGGTAAGGTAATACGTTCCATGGGAAGTGTAGTTCTAGTGCCTTGGATGAAGAGACCTTCAGTAGGCATGATTTTACTCTCACCTGAAGCCTGAGAAGCCGGGACAGGGGTTTCCGCTGACACCTGCTGACCTCTTTACTAGCAACACCTGTAATAAGTTTTATTATTATTACACATTTCACTCTGGGGAGAGTTTTATCAAGTCATGTTTTACTGTGTATATCACTATCATGATGTGTTTCGTGTTTTAGACCTTCATTATGTCATGTTTCACTTATACGGGGAGGGGTGGGATTTAAATTATGGGGAATCAAATTCAAAAATGGAACTGACACAGTTACTTTTTGCTGATGATACTGTGGTTTGGGGATTTCCGACTCCCCTTGCCCCAAAGGTTAGTGAAGAGTTTGAGAATGGGTGTAAAGATAGAAAGTGAAAGTGAACAAGAAAAGAGTAAGGTGATGAGGTCTCAATGATTTAGTTAAAGAAAAATTGGATATCAAATTGGGGAGGAGGAGTAGGGGAAGAAGTGATGTTTTCAGATAAGTGGATGGGTTTTATGAAGGATGAGCGTTAATCAAGAATGATGTAGGGAAAAATGGTGAGGGTGGGTGCGTGAGGTTTATGTGGAGTCAATAAAACCGTTATTATGGAGGAAAAGAAGGGAATGTATGAAAGTATAGTAGTACAAACATCTTATAAGGAATGTGAAGTTGGGTGGTAATATGCAGCAGCGAGGAGACGGTTTGGAGAGGCCGTGGAGATGTCCTGTCTAAAGGGCATGTGTGGTGTATATATTATGCAGAAAATTCGGACGTGTGAGTGTGGAAATTAGGAGAAGGTGTGGAGTAATAAAAGCATTAATCAGAGGCAGAGAGGGGTTGTTGAGGGTGGTTTGGTCATTTAGAGGTAGAATGGATCAATGTTTGAATGAACATGGAAAGCATATATATCTATAGGGAAAAGAAAGGAGGGGTAGGGGTGCTGCCCCCCATTCGAAAGGGTTGGAAATAGGGGTAAAGGAGGTTTTGTGGGCAAGGGCTTGGACTTCAGCAGCCTGCATGGATGCGTGTTAGATAGGAGTGATGGAGACGAATGATACTTGGGACTGACGATCTGTTGAGTGTGTGCAGGGTAATATTTAGTGAAGGGATTCAGGGAAACCGGTTATTTTCATATAGTCGGAACTTGAGTCCTGGAAATGGGAAGTCATACAATGCTGCACTTTAAAGGAGGGTTTGGGATATTGCAGTTTGGGGGATATGTTGTGTATCTGTATAGTATTGCTTCTAAACTGTTGTATATTGAGCCTCTGCAAAAACTGTGATAATTGTGAGTGTGGTGAAAGTGTTGAATGACGATGAAAGTATTTTCTTGTTTGGGGCTATAACTATTTTATTTTTGGGGTCACCCTGCCTCGGAGGGAGCCGGCAGACTTGTTGAAAAAAAAAATCATTATCATGATGTGTTTCGTGTTTTAAGACTTCAATTATGTATGTTTCACTCTATAGACTTATCTTGTCATGGTTTGGTCTTTAGAATACTTTATCGAATCATGAACAGTGTCCTAATTTCCACCCCAAAAAAAAAGATGGTTCTACAACCCTTCTCTGTCTCACAAAGTCTACATGCTTTCTACACAGTTTCAATGCGATTTAAAGTCATATCTTTGGGCAGGTGTATCGCTGATAGGACTTACATGGTGCAGAGGCTCTAGCTGGTGGTCCTCTTGTTTTATTGGACATTTGGCAAACAGGAACTGCCGTGCTGAACAAAAACACTACAAAACACAAAAATTGTTTCAGTATTCAACCAACATTTAAATCAAATTAAAAGGTGATTTTGCTGTAATATAAAGTAATAAAAAATAATCTTTGGTAAAGAGGGACGAATATAAACATAAATTACGGTGGAAAAAGTAACGCAATTTTTCAATTTAAATGCTGTAGGACCATTGTTTCCTCTAACCCTGATTCCTCCCAGCGTCACGAAACTCGGTTTCTTTGGTCAGTAGTGTTAATCACTGTTTTATCTTATTGGACAGCTGTAAAGGTAAGTTAACCTTCTGCATAGAATGGAAGTTGATTACTAGAGATACCTCAGTAAACGGTCCAGATTTTTGCTTGGATAGTACAATGAGGCTTAGAGAACACATCATCTGTGGACTGGGGGTAATGAAGAGATGCTCTCAATGTGACAGAATTCTAAACACTCTACTGCTGCCCAAAGAAACTTTTATTCCGTATAAAGAAATTAGTTCGAATAGAATTGTATACCGGAGAAGATGAATAATAAGTTCAATCATCTTTTTTAGGATGAAAAAAAAAAAGGAATTTATAGGTGCATCAAAAGAGATGAAGGTAATCTTATGAATCAGTAACAGTGGATAAAAGAAAAGCTAAACGGTGCTTATGAAATTAAAGTTGTTAGGGATTCGAAAAACTAACCAAAGTTTTTTTTTCCAGGATTTATTGAACAATAAGTTGAGATAAGATAGGTCCCTTAAAAAATAACTCTTTGGGCCATCTTATGACAAGGAGAAATGAAGTGTTGATTTTTAATAATTATTTTCTCTTGGGTTTCACACAGGAAAAGACACTAATAATATCAGTAATTAATTTTTTATAGTGGGCCTGTAGGAATAAATTATGTAATATCACAGTCAATAAGGATATGGGATAATCCAAAAAAAGTAGACGACCTAAACAAAATAAATCCCTGGCTAGATGAACTTTTTCACGGGTGCCTTAGGAGTACAATTGGACTTTGTGAACATTAAATACATTTGTAATGTATCTCTTCAAGCAGGTGTAGTGGCCGATCTGTGGTGATGGCCAATGTAATTCTCTATTTTTAGAACAGGGCCAGCGTTACCGTCAAATTGCCGGCAGTATAGCCTGACCTCAAATTGTAAGTAAATTACTCAAGTCAATTATAGCTGATATTTAAGAAATCATCTTGAAAAAGCATAATTTGATTATTGATCCTCAGCGTGGATTTCACGAGAGGCCGTTCCTGCCTTGCTAATTTAACTAACATTCTCAGTATAGCTTTTTGGGGCTGTTGATCTCGACAAAGAATTTGATTTTGTTTATTTGGATTTTAGTAAGGCCTTGATAGAGTACAGCACCAAGAGGACTGCTAAAGAAAGTGGGGGAGGAAAAGTGCGTGTCATAGATCGGGTTATGGCTTACTGATCACCAGGAGGCCTGGTCACAGACCGGGCCGCGGGGGCGTTGACCCCCGGAACTCTCTCCAGGTAAACTCCAGGTCTCCAGAAGCAGAGAGTGTGCATAAGTGGGGTAAAATCTGAGTTGGGATCTGTAACAAGTGGCGTTCCACAGGGATCAGTTTTAGGCCCATTATGGCTTATAATATATATCAATGATCTTGACAAGAAAATTGCTAGTGATATGAGCAAATTCGCTGATGACACGAAGATAGGTAGGATAATCGATTCAGAAGTAGATGTTAAAGAACTGCAGGAGGATTCAGACAAACTTAATTTATGGTAAGAAAAGAGGCAGATACAGTTCACTGTAGATAAATGCAAAGTTCTGAAGCTCGGGAGTGTTCATAACCTTAGCTTTTATAAGCTAAATAACATAGAACTTAGCCGTACAGACTGCGAAAAGAGTCTGGGGGTTATGGTAAGCAGCAACCATAAACCAAGACAGTAGTGCATATGCGTGCATAATAAGGCAAATAGATTACTGGGATTTATATCAAGAAGTGTAAGCAACAAATGCCAAGTTATACTACAGCTTTATACATTATTATTAAGGCCTCGCCTGGATTACGCAGCTCAGTTCTGGTCTCCACATTACAGAATGGACATGAATTCGTTAGAAAACATTCAGCATAGGATGATAAAACTAATACATAACATTAGAAATCTTCCGAATGAAGAAAGATTGAAGTCCCTTAAATTAGATTCACTTGTAAGACGAAGAATAAAGAGAGACATGATCGAAGTGTATAAGTCGAAGATGGGTATTAACAAAGGGGATATAAATAAGGTATTGAGGATATGTCTCCAAGAGAGAACCCGCAATAACAGATTCAATATAGATAAGTTTAGATTTAGAAAGGATATAGGAAAGTATTGGCTTGGAAATAGCGCAGCTGATGAGTGGAGCAGTCTGCCCAGTAGGGTGATTGAAGCGAGAACCTTGGATAGTTTCAAATTTAGGTTGGACATATACATGAGTGAGTGGCGTTGGATTTGAGTGGGACTTGCTCATGAGTAAATAATTTTATCAAAAGCTGGGTAGCGTTGAAAATGGGTTGAGCAAATATTCTATTAGTGGGATGGATTTGTGAAGGACCTGCCTAGTATGGGCCAACAGGCCGGCTGCAGTGTTCCTCCTTTCAATTAGCACACACAGAAAAAGAACAATACGTTTTACAATCTAGAGAATAACTCAGTCAGTAACCATGAGAACCTGACTGTGACAAGTCAGTCCGTTACTTGCCAAGCAACTACCATCCAGTTAGTGTTAGGTTAAAGTTAGCAGACTTTTGCCAATTATAACTGATATATTTTCATAACTGTTCAATGCATAGGTAAGGCTGGCTATCTCCAACATAACAGGAAGGGGACGACAACAGCACACAGGATAAGTATGGTGTCATATGGGTATAGTGGTGGTTATAACCCACAAGAGGGGAACGGGGTGGCTATCACTCACAAGAGAAGTATGGGGTTGCTATGTTCTGTCATAGAGGTATGAGGTCGCCATCACCTACAAGAGGGATATGAAGTAGCTATCACCCATCAGAGGGGTATGGAGGTGGCTATCACCCACCACAGGGTTATTGTGGTGGCTATCACCCACCAGAGGGGTATGGGGGTGGCTATCACCCACCAGAGGGGTATGAAGGTGGCTATCACCCACCAGAGGGGTATGAAGGTGGCTATCACCCACCAGAGGGGTATGGAGGTGCTATCTCCCTGCGAGGGGTATGTGGTGCCTACAAACCAGAGAGTGTGGGCAGGCCCAAATAATTACATTACGCTCACATATTACAGTAAAACACAGAACACACAATTTTCACATGCATTGTGAAGCTGGTGGCTAGCGTGGTGAAGGTTGTTTGTGCAACTTAGTGTTAACCAGGGGTGAAGCAGACCTTACTGACTGCACGCCAACCCGGCCTTAAAGGGACGAAAACCTCTGGCCTCACCACGTGGCATAGGTCTGTTAACTCAGAAATCAACTCTGTGGATGTCTTGAGCCGCAAACAATAATAAATGCATGTGATAGTAATCACATGTGATAAACTACATGTGATTACTTTACTTTTGGGAGGCAGTAAATTTACGATACAAGGAAGCGGATGTACCAATTTTTGATAACCGGTTGGATGTTCCTCTCCACACGACACTCCATGCTTTGGCTCGACCTGGTTTGTCAGTATATTTAACATATATAATTTAAAGTATATCAGTATAAGATCAGATCTGGTTGTACTTGATTTTTTCTTCTCACATTTCTGACCATTTACTTTTTCAATCTCTGTGTTTCTAATTATAGTTCATTTTTCTAGTGTTGCCTTTCCACAAGGTAACCACAGCTTGACTAAGATAACATTATGACTGTCATCGATGATGACAATGATTAACAGACCCACTCGATGGTTTAAGAAAAATGTGATATGAGGGACCTATGAGTAACCATGTAGAAATAATGTGAAGGACCCTTGAGTAAAAATGTAGCAAGGTTAGTGTTAATCCACATCAATTTACTTGTTCTAAGACAAGATTTTCGTAAGCCATCAACTAATTCAAGATGGGTTTTTCTATAGAAATTCAAGATGGCTGGAAAACTTTCTTGATTTATATTCCCTTTAATGTCCCCGATTTGGTAAAGAACCACGTATGAAACTGACTGTTATGGGGTAGAACACTTAATGAGCAAGGTTGATCAGGAGTGAGAGATTTGAGAGAGAGAGAGAGAGCACGATGAGAGAGAGAGAGAGAGGAGAGTAGAGGAGAGAGAGAGGAGTGAGAGAAGAGATAGGAAGAGAGAGAGAGAGAGAACATGTACTGAACACTTTGATCTGAATAGAACACTCATCCAACATTACATTGAAACGCTAATATTGTTCCACCTTATAGCACATGTGTGTCAGGTTACATATGTGGATGGTGGGTACTGGATGACTTCGTAATGATGGTTGGTAGTGCTATGGTTGGTATGAATGTTTGGTAGTGAATTGTGGTAAAGAGAGGTGATGACAAGTTGTGATCATAATTTGACACACTCTTTACATCACTTCAACCATCATAATTTCTGACCACACACTTTACCATCGCTTCAAATCCATCATATTTCTGGACACACATTTACCATCACTTCACTGATATAATTCTGACACACACTTTACCATCACTTCCAGTGATCTTAATTCTGACACACACTTTACCATCTTTCACGGATCATAATTCATGACACACACTTTTACAATCACTTCACTGATCATATTTCTGACACACACTTTACCATCACTTCACTGATCATCATCTGACACACACTTTACCTGGTCTGGTCAACAGTATCTACTCCATTTAATTTATTACATTCTTTAATGTTTTTCCTCTTTTCTTCTTTTATAAACATTATGAACAAATCCATGAAAACTTTTCCAGTACTTTTATTACCACTGTGCAAGAAATGTTGCTCTTCTTATGCGAATTATTATGTAGTTCATGCAAGTGTTTCCTTATGTTTACTTTTCACTTTCATCTACACTCTTTAAAAATCACTTAC